AAGAGCGGTGGCGGGGGGAGGGACGGAGTGCGGTAGGGGAAGAGGCGGTAGTAGGGGACCGACTCGTCAAACGTGACGTCCTGGGAGGACAGAACACGGCGAGAGGTGGGGTGGTAGAACTGCCACCCTGGCGCGTCAGGGGGGAAGCCAAGGAAGACGCAAGGAGCAGCACGAGGGGACAGCTTGTCCGCAGACAAGTCGCGGACAAACGCCCGAGATCCCCAGACACGGAACGCAGACGCATCGCCAACCTTCCCCGTCCACAGCAAAGCTGGGGAGGTCTCCGGCATGGAGACCCTGGGGTGAAGGTTGATCTGATGCGCCGCGTACCGAACCGCAAACGGCCACAGAAAATGGGGGGCAGCCGCATGCATCATGGACGTACGGGCGACGTCCATGACCATGCCAATGCGGCGCTCAGCAATCCCATTTTGCTGTGGAGAGTCCGGAAGCGTGAAGGTCTGGCGGATGCCTCGTGCACGACAGTAGGCTCGCAGAAGGCCAGAGGAGAACTCTCCACCTCTGTCAGAGTGCAGACGCAGAACAGGAAAGTCCGAGCCGAAGCTCTGCCTGAGCTGGAGACGAGCTGCGCGGATCCAGTCGATCAACACCTCAGTGACATCACCCTTGCTGCGCAAGGGGAAGACTGTGGTGTAACGCGAGTAGTCGTCAACCACCAGCAGGAAGTAGCGCTCGTGACCCTGTCCACGGACGCGGGCCGGGCCCCACACGTCCATGTGAAGCGTCTGCAGCGGGGCCTCTGTCGGAGGAAACTGGGAGGAGTGAGGGGCAGCCCGCTGCCGCCCCTCGACACAGGGGACGCAGGTAGGGCCAGGCCCCGGAGGAAGGGGAGGGAGGGACCGGGGAAGACCAGAGACAAGGACACGGGAGGCCATGCCTCGGAGACGAAGCAGGGAGGGGTGACCAAGGCGGTGGTGCCAGAGGAGAGTCTCGTGAGACAGAAGGCGACACGAACAGGGGGCAGACTCAGGACCAGACCTGGACGCTGCAGCAAACACCTGACCCGACGCAGCTACCTGACCAGACGCAGTGACTGGAGGAGACGCAGTGGTCAGTGTGTACAGGCTCGACCCCGGCCGACGTGTAAACGTGGCCAGGTGTCGGCCTGTCCGAGCGTCCGTGCAGTGGGTCACCCGCTGACTCGCAGGAGTGAACTGGTGAACCCCCGCATCCTGTAGGTCAGCACCACTCACCAAGTTCGTAGAGAACGAGGGGAGGTAAAGACCAGACAGGGTGCCAGAGGGGGCCGCCGGACACGGGAGGACAGTGGAGAAGTGAGCAAGGACAGGACCCCCAGAGGGGTCTGCCAGAGAGACTGCAACTGGCCGGCCAAGCGGCGTGAGTGTGGTGCGGTCTCGAAAGAAGGAGCGAGAAGCCCCCGAGTCAAGGGTGAAGGTGTGGGAGGCCGAAGCCGACGCAGTACCTGAGAGAGCAGACTCACCAGCACCTGAGGGAGCAGACGCACGAGCACCTAGAGCAGCAGCCTCGCTAGCACCTAGAGCAGCAGTCTCAATGCTCGGGTCGGGCGGAAAACACCGGTAACAGTCACCCTCATCACTAATAGTCACAGCATACATGGCAGCAAGAATAGCATCAAAGTCAAGGTCAAAGACAGCTACACCCGCCCTAGACCGCTCGCCCCAGCGAGGGATCTCAGTGGCCTCAGGGAACTGGTGACACCAAGCGTCCGTCAGGCGGCCAAAGCAGCGCTGGGTGGAGTGCGCACCCCCGCACTGCTCACCCGCGCGGTCGCCGGTGCGTAGGACGTAGGTGCACGGACCAGTACCCCCACCCCGCTGGCGTGCAGTGTACCACTCACGGAGCTGCTGAGGGGGGGGGATGTCACGAGTGCGCTGCTGCCGCTGCTGCTGCTGCTGCTGGCGCTGACCACCACCGGAGCCGACCCTCTGTGCAGCGCCACCCCGACCAGCTCCACCTCCTCCGCCGCCGCCTCCTCCACCGCCGCCACCTCCGCCACCTCCGCTCCCACCGCCACCGCCGCCGCCGCCTCCGCCTCCACTGCCGCCACCGACACCTCCACCCCCGCCACCACTCCCACCACCACCCCCACCCCCTCCACTGCCGCCACCGCCACCTCCGCCACCCCCGCCAGCCCCTCCAGCACCCTTGCCCCCCTTGCCCTTGCCGGTGCGGCATCTCCCGCTCGGGGCAGACGCAGCGCCGACCGACTCGAAACCAACGAGGTCGGCCGCAGCAGCAGAGGCAACAGAGGGCAAAAGGGGGGAGGGGGAACACCCCTCAAAGACGGGGGTGCGAGGGTCACCACGAGAGGCTCCTACAGCGACTATGCCCTTCTCTGCTGCTAGGAGGGCCTTCTCGAGGAGGTCAACGGTGAGAGTGGTGGGGCAAACTGAGAGGAAGTGGTCCCTGACTACGCGAAGGGAGTCAGGGAGCCGGGTGACTATGTAGTAGAGGGTGATGTACATGGGGGGGGGGTTCTTGGCGCAGAACTCAGCAGGAAGCGCAGCGCGGTAGCGAGTGTCACTAGTGCGGAGGTGCGTAATGAGGTCAGCGACTGTGGGAAAGGCAGCAAGGTCAGGGAAGAGGTACGGTAGCATGAGGCGGCTCAGTGCAGCAGTGGCAGGGGAGGAGTAGCGCGCAACTACAGCGTCGTACAAGGTGTGAGCACTCTTGTACTGGCTAAAGTGCGCACGCTCAGAGGTAGGCAAGTGGCGACGCACAGCAAGACGTGCAGCAGCATCGCGTGTGGCCCACTGTGAGCGAACAGTGGCGTCAGCATCAGCAGCGGGGGCAGGGGAGTCACCAGAAGTGAGATCAAAGAGGGAGAGACCGTCTGCCCTATCGCACTGTAGGAAAAGCTGCAGGTCATCTACCCAGACGTCAAAGTCAATGGCCCGACCCTCAGCGTCAAAAGCGAGGACACTGGGGGTAGCCATGACAGCAGTAGACTAGCAGCACGAGCAGTAGGCTAAGGGCAGCGCAGTAGTAGAGGTGCTGCTCTTACCGGGCAGGCGAGACGGACCGAGTGTAGAGGACAGGGCGGCTCGGACGGCTCGGCGGCTCGGCGGCTCGGCAGCACCAGCAGGTCGGCAGCTCAGCGACTCGGCGGCTCGGGTGGCTCGGCGGCTCGGGCGACTCGGGCGGCTCGGGCGGCTCGGGCGGCTCGGGCGGCTCGGCGGCTCGGGCGGTTCGGTGGCTCGGGCGGCTCGGCTGCTGCAGGGGCAGCGGCGGCTGTTGCTCACAGGACGGCGGCGGCCGCTGCTGCAGCGGCGGCGGCAGTTGCTGCTGCAGGGCCGGCGGCGGCCGCTCCTGTAGGGACGGCGGCGGCCGCGGTTGCAGTGGCGGCGGGTGCTGCTGCAGGGGCGGCGGATGCTGCTGCTGCTGGGACTGCGGCCGCGGTCGCTGTAGCGACTGCAGCTGCTGCTGCTGTAGAGGCGGCGACGGCGGGCCGGAAGAGGCCGCGAAGGGCGGCGGACGGGCCGTGAAGGGCGGCACGAGGGGCCGCAGAGGGCGGCGACCGGCCGTGAAGGGGCCGGGAGTGGCCGCGGAGGGCGGCGACGGGCTGTGAAGGGCGGCGCGAGGGGTCGCGGAGGGCGGCGACCGGCCGTGAAGGGGCCGCGAGTGGCCGCGGAGGGCGGCGACCGGCCGTGAAGGGGCCGCGAGTGGCCGCGGAGGGCGGCGACGGGCCGTGAAGGGCGATGCGAGGGGCCGCGAAGGGCGGCTACGGGCCGTAGGGGGCCGTAAGGGCGGCGCGAGGGGCCGGAAGGGCGGCGCGAGGGGCCGTAATGGCGGCACGAGGGGCCGTCAGAGGGGCCGCTAAGGGCGACGCGAAGGGGCCGTAAGGGGCCTAGAGAGGGCGTGACGGTAGGGAGGGCACGCGGGGCGCGACTCGGGCAGGAGCGAAGCGCGCTCCGGGCAGGAAAAAAAAAATTTCGATTGGTGGGCCCTAGGAAGCGTTCCCACGAGGGAACCCGCTCTATACCATGAGAAATTACGAGGAATGAATTGACTAAGGGAAAGTTGGGTACAAAAGCAAACCCTAGAAAACTGTACCCCATATGTGCTACCCCACTATAGCCTACAGTAGCTATGTCATATAAATCTGACATCCTAGGCACGATCAATCTCTTGATCACAACACGAAAGGCTCATACGCGATTTTGTGTGGGTGCAAAGCATGTACGTAAAAAAAAGAATGTATAAGAGTTGTAGATGCTTGAGAAGTATAAATAATGCAGCATATTAATATTTGACATTTATATGATAATTTAATTTCATATTTCTATTCATAGCTAGTAACTATTTTCTTTGAAATGAACATTCATAAAATAGGATTCTGATATCCATTTTTCTGTTGTGTAGTGAACACAAAGGATCGTAAACGCGTACAATCGGGCGAGGTCTTCTCCAATGACGAACCACACGTGGTCGCACCGACACCACTCGATCGTATGGCCGATCGAACGATAAATGCAGCAGTGCCCCAGAGTGCAAAAGGTACAGAGAAGTGCAGCGCGCTGGCATCGTGTTCGTTTCTGTGCGGTCTAATATGTTGCGTCTCGGTGCAAGTATACGTAAGACTGATAACAGAATTTCACTATGTGGAACCGTCATGAGCCACAGAAAATGAACTGCAATGTATGTGCACCAAAATGCGCCCATTGTAAACCTTCCGCTTCAATCTGCAAACTATGACAGGGGAGGCTTGCCTAGCTCGGATCAGGGCTGCTGGCTCATTGGCGAGATTCGCGGTGCTATCGCCGATATAGGAAACCAACAGTTAAACGAGTCGTGGTCGTGTCCGCCGCGCGACCGATCGATCAGCGGTGACGATCGCAACAACGACTCGGTAGCGCGACTCAGAAGCCCGACTTATGCGGCGTCAGGATTGGATAGTTGTCGGCTTAGAGATTCGACTTGTGGATCGTCGAAAGCGATTAGCAGCAGGTGGTTGAGGCGCCGTTGATTCGCGATGGCGGCCTCGACGGACGGCCGCGATGGCGTCGCAGGGGTAAGGCAGCCGACATGGGAATAGGGGAGCAGGGCAGGCGGCGGCCCCTTTGATTCCGCGCCGATCACCGCCTATCCAGCCAGCAGCCGGCGAGCCCCAGCGAGCAGCAGCGAGCAGCATTGGAGGGAGCATTCCCTTTCAAATTCACTCCGCTTCCCAAGAGTCACACTTCACCTCCCATTCGCCCCTTTCCCTGCACTCCTACCCCCCTCCTCTCCTTATCCCCCCTCCCCGGGGTCCCACCCCTCCGTCTCCCTGCAGCCATCACCGGAGGACGAAGCGTCGCTGTGGGCGCGGCTGACCTTCGCGTGGGTGGGGCCGCTGATCCGGGTGGGCAACGCCAAGGTGCTGCACGCCTCCGACCTGCCGCCGCTCTGCCCGCGCGACTCCACCGCCGCTGTCGCACCCTCTCTCAGGGCCGCGTGGCACGCTGAGACGGCCGCCACCCACAGGTGCTTGAGCAGAGATGCATATAATGTGCATTGATAGTGCATTGATAAAGATGGTACACACACATATATATACATACACATTATACATGCCACGCATTTCTCCTACATACATGTTGACAAGCTCCTCGCCCACCCCTTGCTGCTCCTCGCCCACCCCTTGCTGCTCCTCGCCCACCCCTTGCTGCTCCTCAGACAGCCTCTTTCCCATTTCCTCCCTCTCCCCCTATCCGAATCACAACCCTTTACCTCTCTCCCCCTCAACCCCCCCCTTCCTCCTCTCCCCATCACCCTCGCTTCCCCTCCTCTCCCCTTGACTACCTCTCCCCCCTCTCTCCCCCTGCTGTGTGCTCTCAGGCGTCCCTCTCTAGCCCGCGCGCTGGTGAGCGCGTTCATGCACCCCTTCATGGCAGCGGGGGCGCTCAAGCTCATTCACGACCTGCTGCAGCTCGCCTCGCCGCTGCTGCTGCAGCAGATCATCCTCCACCTCAGCATGACGTCATTCCACGTCACAGCTCCCCCGCACACAGCTGTAGCAGCAGCAGCGGTCAGCAGCTCACCGGAAGGCCTCTTTGGTCCCTCGCACTTCCTCCCCAACTCCTCGCTCCCCCTCCCCTCCACCCTCACACCGTCCCTCCACCGCTCGCTCCTCTCCACCCCTTTTACCCCCGCAGCTATCCCCTTCACTTCCCCACTCCCCTCTCTCCCCCCAGCACCGCAACTCCTCTCCTGGATCTTCTTCCCTCTCCTCTCTCTCGTCCCTCAGGCGCTCCCCCACATGCAAACCCCAATCGCCAACACCACACCCGATTTCACGTCCCCATTCGCCCATGCCACAACTCACCCACTCCCTTTCTCTGCCTCCGCACACCCATCCTCGTTACTAGCCGCCTCGCTACCAGCGTGGCTGCCAGGGCTGCTGCTAGCGGGGGTGCTGCTGGCGTGCAACGCGGGCCAGTCGCTCGTCGCCCATCAGTACTTCCACCGCCTCTACCGCCTCTCCTCCCATGTGCGTTGCTCTACCGCCTCTCCTCCCATGTGCGTTGCTCTACCGCCTCTCCTCCCATGTATGCGCCTCTCCTCCCATGTGCGTTGCTCTACTGCCTCTCCTCCCATGTGCGTCCGTGTAATAGTTTGAAGAGTCTCGCACATGCCTCTCCTCCCATGTATGCGCCTCTCCTCCCATGTATGTGCCTCTCCTCCCATGTATGCGCCTCTCCTCCCATGTATGTGCCTCTCCTCCCATGTATGTGCCTCTCCTCCCATGTATGCGCCTCTCCTCCCATGTATGTGCCTCTCCTCCCATGTATGTGCCTCTCCTCCCATGTGGTATCTCTACTGCCTCTCCTCCTATGCGGCTTTGTGTGTGCTCCCGTGTGTGCCTATCTCACCCGCTCCTCCTTCCTCCTTCTCGCACGGCACGCTGCCCTCAAGTGCGCACGGCACTGGTGGCGCTCATGTATTGCAACGCCCTGCGCTCATGTATTGCAACGCCCTGCGCTCATGTATTGCAACGCCCTGCGCTCATGTATTGCAACGCCCTGCGCTCATGTATTGCAACGCCCTGCCCTCATGTATTGCAACGCCCTGCGCTCATGTATTGCAACGCCCTGCCCTCATGTATTGCAACGCCCTGCCCTCATGTATTGCAACGCCCTGCCCTGCGCATCTCCACCCCGCTGCATGCCCTCCCAACCCCATAACCCCTCCCCCCCTTCCGGTCCCTCCCCCTCCTCCCCCCTCCTCCCCTTCCTCCACCCTACTCCCTCTCTCACGGCGCGGTGCCCTCAGGTGCGCACGGCGATGGTGGCGCTGATCTACGCCAAGGCGCTGCGCATCTTTGCTGCAGCGCGCCACTCCACCAGCCTGGGGGAGATTGTACGTCCCTCTGCCCCCTCACACCTGCCTGTAGCAGCAAGCTTCTGCTGCCACTGTAGCAGCGAGCCATGTGGCACCAAGTGATACGTTCGTTCCATGCCATGCTCAACCCCTCTGTTCCATGCCATGCTCAACCCCTCTGTTCCATGACATGCTCAACCCCTCTGTTCCATGCCATGCTCAACCCCTCTGTTCCATGACATGCTCAACCCCTCTGTTCCATGCCATGCTCAACCCCTCTGTTCCATGACATGCTCAACCCCTCTGTTCCATGCCATGCTCAACCCCTCTGTTCCATGACATGCTCAACCCCTCTGTTCCATGACATGCTCAACCCCTCTGTTCCATGCCATGCTCAACCCCTCTGTTCCATGACATGCTCAACCCCTCTGTTCCATGCCATGCTCAACCCCTCTGTTCCATGCCATGCTCAACCCCTCTGTTCCATGACATGCTCAACCCCTCTGTTCCATGACATGCTCAACCCCTCTGTTCCATGACATGCTCAACCCCTCTGTTCCATGCCATGCTCAACCCCTCTGTTCCATGCCATGCTCAACCCCTCTGTTCCATGACATGCTCAACCCCTCTGTTCCATGACATGCTCAACCCCTCTGTTCCATGCCATGCTCAACCCCTCTGTTCCATGACATGCTCAACCCCTCTGTTCCATGACATGCTCAACCCCTCTGTTCCATGCCATGCTCAACCCCTCTGTTCCATGACATGCTCAACCCCTCTGTTCCATGCCATGCTCAACCCCTCTGTTCCATGCCATGCTCAACCCCTCTGTTCCATGACATGCTCAACCCCTCTGTTCCATGACATGCTCAACCCCTCTGTTCCATGACATGCTCAACCCCTCTGTTCCATGCCATGCTCAACCCCTCTGTTCCATGCCATGCTCAACCCCTCTGTTCCATGACATGCTCAACCCCACTGTTCCATGCCATGCTCAACCCCTCTGTTCCATGACATGCTCAACCCCTCTGTTCCATGACATGCTCAACCCCTCTGTTCCATGACATGCTCAACCCCTCTGTTCCATGACATGCTCAACCCCTCTGTTCCATGCCATGCTCAACCCCTCTGTTCCATGACATGCTCAACCCCTCTGTTCCATGCCATGCTCAACCCCTCTGTTCCATGCCATGCTCAACCCCTCTGTTCCATGGCATGCTCAACCCCTCTGTTCCATGACATGCTCAACCCCTCTGTTCCATGCCATGCTCAACCCCTCTGTTCCATGCCATGCTCAACCCCTCTGTTCCATGCCATGCTCAACCCCTCTGTTCCATGACATGCTCAACCCCTCTGTTCCATGCCATGCTCAACCCCTCTGTTCCATGCCATGCTCAACCCCTCTGTTCCATGCCATGCTCAACCCCTCTGTTCCATGACATGCTCAACCCCTCTGTTCCATGACATGCTCAACCCCTCTGTTCCATGACATGCTCAACCCCTCTGTTCCATGCCATGCTCAACCCCTCTGTTCCATGACATGCTCAACCCCTCTGTTCCATGCCATGCTCAACCCCTCTGTTCCATGCCATGCTCAACCCCTCTGTTCCATGACATGCTCAACCCCTCTGTTCCATGCCATGCTCAACCCCTCTGTTCCATGACATGCTCAACCCCTCTGTTCCATGCCATGCTCAACCCCTCTGTTCCATGACATGCTCAACCCCTCTGTTCCATGCCATGCTCAACCCCTCTGTTCCATGCCATGCTCAACCCCTCTGTTCCATGACATGCTCAACCCCTCTGTTCCATGCCATGCTCAACCCCTCTGTTCCATGACATGCTCAACCCCTCTGTTCCATGCCATGCTCAACCCCTCTGTTCCATGACATGCTCAACCCCTCTGTTCCATGCCATGCTCAACCCCTCTGTTCCATGCCATGCTCAACCCCTCTGTTCCATGACATGCTCAACCCCTCTGTTCCATGCCATGCTCAACCCCTCTGTTCCATGACATGCTCAACCCCTCTGTTCCATGACATGCTCAACCCCTCTGTTCCATGACATGCTCAACCCCTCTGTTCCATGCCATGCTCAACCCCTCTGTTCCATGACATGCTCAACCCCTCTGTTCCATGCCATGCTCAACCCCTCTGTTCCATGACATGCTCAACCCCTCTGTTCCATGCCATGCTCAACCCCTCTGTCTGCCCTTCCACGCTCGTTGATCCCACATCTCCCGCTCACACTCCTCAATGTGAGCCCCTTCCCCACAACGCAGTGGTCATGTGGTTGTTGACCTGCTGACCTGCACGGACCTCCACTCCACCACACTGCTCTCAACTCAAGCCCTGTGCTGCAACCCGCTTCTGTTGTTTCCACCTGAGCAGGTGAATCTGCAGAGCAACGATGCGGAGAAGCTGGCGAAGCTGTGCATCTATCTGCACATCGTGTGGAGTGGGCCCCTGCAGATCATGGGTGAGGGGGGCTGCTTTGATGAGCTTGGGGGGAGAGGGGGGGGAGGAATTGCAGTTGTGCAGATCATGGGTGAGGGGGGCTGCTTTGATGAGCTTGGGGGGAGAGGGGGGGGAGGAGTTGCAGTCCTGCAGATCATGGGCGAGCTGCCCTGCAGATTATCGGTGAGGGGGTTGTTGTTGGCCCTGCTTCTCAGGAGAAGGAGGCGATTTACTTGAGACAGGGTTGGGGAGCGACCGGGGGTTAATGGAAAACGTCGTTCCACCTGTGTCCGCCTGTGCGCCTGCTTGCCTGCTTGTCTGTTTGCCTTCTTGCCGTCTAGCCTTCTCACGTACTCGACAACACAGAAGCAGCAACTTAGTGCCCCTTTCTGGTTTCAATATTCACCCCTTCACCCCTTCACTCTTTAACTTCCACCCCTCCACCCCTTCACCCACTTACCTCTCCACCCCGACACCCGGGCCGTTCAAATCAACCCTTCACTCCATTCCTCGTTTTCCCCCCACCAGGTGCATTGGCCTTCCTCTTCCACTTCCTCTCTGTCATTCCTGGTGAGTTCATTCTCCACTCTTTTTTGGAGTCCATGCCATGCCATGACGTGCGTGCCATGCCATGACGTGCCATGCCATGCCATGCCATGCCATGCCATGCCATGCCATGCCATGCCATGCCATGCCATGACGTGCCATTCCATGCCATGTCATTCCATGGCATGAGGTGCCATCCCATGCCATGATGTACCATGCCATGACGTGCCATGACGTGCCATGACGTGCCATGACGTGCCATGACGTGCCATGACGTGCAATGACGTGCCATGACGTGCCATGACGTGCCATGACGTGCCATGCCATCCCACATCCTTGCAGCTCTGGCAGGGCTGGGCACCATGCTGCTCTTGATGGTGCTATTAACGGGGTGCTCATGGGGCGCCTGTTCCAGTACTCAATCCTCCCCCTTCCCCCGCCTGCCCTTCCTTTCCCCATGCTCACAGCCCTGGCGGGGCTGGCCACAATGCTGCTGCTGATGCCGTTCAACGGGGTGCTCATGGGGCGCCTGTCAGCGGTGCGCCACCGCCTCATAGCGCGCACCGATGCGCGCGTGCGCCTGCTCTCCGAGGCCGTGGGGGCCGTGCGTGCCGTGAAGCTCAACGGGTGGGAGGCGCTGTTCAAGGGGCGGATAGAGGCGAGACGGGCGGAGGAGATGAAGGAGATCACCGTCTCCGTGCTGCTCGGTGGGTGGTGGGAGGGTTGGGTTGGGTTGACTTTGCCCCTAAGGTGGGTTGGTTGGGCTGAATTTGCTCCAAAGGTGGGTTGGTGGTTTCGCTCGCGATCGACATCTCAGTGCTGCTCGTGGCGGGCGTGTTGATGCTCACTTGGTGCATGTACATGTTGATGCTCACTTGGTGCATGTACATGTTGATGCTCACTTGGTGCATGTACATGTTGATGCTCACTTGGTGCATGTACATGTTGATGCTCACTTGGTGCATGTACATGTTGATGCTCACTTGGTGCATGTACATGTTGATGCTCACTTGGTGCATGTACATGTTGATGCTCACTTGGTGCATGTACATGTTGATGCTCACTTGATGCATGTACATGTTGATGCTCACTTGGTGCATGTACATGTTGATGCTCACTTGGTGCATGTACATGTTGATGCTCACTTGGTGCATGTACATGTTGATGCTCACTTGGTGCATGTACATGTTGATGCTCACTTGGTGCATGTACATGTTGATGCTCACTTGGTGCATGTACATGTTGATGCTCACTTGATGCATGTACATGTTGATGCTCACTTGGTGCATGTACATGTTGATGCTCACTTTGTGCATGTACATGTTGATGCTCACTTGGTGCATGTACATGTTGATGCTCACTTGGTGCATGTACATGTTGATGCTCACTTGGTGCATGGACATGTTGATGCTCACTTGGTGCATGTACATGTTGATGCTCACTTGGTGCATGTACATGTTGATGCTCACTTGGTGCATGTACATGTTGATGCTCACTTGGTGCATGTACATGTTGATGCTCACTTGGTGCATGTACATGTTGATGCTCACTTGGTGCATGCACATGTTGATGCTCACTTGGTGCATGTACATGTTGATGCTCACTTGGTGCATGTACATGTTGATGCTCACTTGGTGCATGTACATGTTGATGCTCACTTGGTGCATGTACATGTTGATGCTCACTTGGTGCATGTACATGTTGATGCTCACTTGGTGCATGTACATGTTGATGCTCACTTGGTGCATGTACATGTTGATGCTCACTTGGTGCATGTACATGTTGATGCTCACTTGGTGCATGTACATGTTGATGCTCACTTGGTGCATGGACATGTTGATGCTCACTTGGTGCATGTACATGTTGATGCTCACTTGGTGCATGGACATGTTGATGCTCACTTGGTGCATGTACATGTTGATGCTCACTTGGTGCATGTACATGTTGATGCTCACTTGGTGCATGTACATGTTGATGCTCACTTGGTGCATGGACATGTTGATGCTCACTTGGTGCATGTACATGTTGATGCTCACTTGGTGCATGTACATGTTGATGCTCACTTGGTGCATGGACATGTTGATGCTCACTTGGTGCATGTACATGTTGATGCTCACTTGGTGCATGGACATGTTGATGCTCACTTGGTGCATGGACATGTTGATGCTCACTTGGTGCATGTACATGTTGATGCTCACTTGGTGCATGTACATGTTGATGCTCACTTGGTGCATGTACATGTTGATGCTCACTTGGTGCATGTACATGTTGATGCTCACTTGGTGCATGTACATGTTGATGCTCACTTGGTGCATGGACATGTTGATGCTCACTTGGTGCATGTACATGTTGATGCTCACTTGGTGCATGGACATGTTGATGCTCACTTGGTGCATGTACATGTTGATGCTCACTTGGTGCATGTACATGTTGATGCTCACTTGGTGCATGTACATGTTGATGCTCACTTGGTGCATGTACATGTTGATGCTCACTTGGTGCATGTACATGTTGATGCTCACTTGGTGCATGGACATGTTGATGCTCACTTGGTGCATGTACATGTTGATGCTCACTTGGTGCATGTACATGTTGATGCTCACTTGGTGCATGTACATGTTGATGCTCACTTGGTGCATGTACATGTTGATGCTCACTTGGTGCATGTACATGTTGATCCTCACTTGGTGCATGTACATGTTGATGCTCACTTGGTGCATGTACATGTTGATGCTCACTTGGTGCATGGACATGTTGATGCTCACTTGGTGCATGGACATGTTGATGCTCACTTGGTGCATGTACATGTTGATGCTCACTTGGTGCATGTACATGTTGATGCTCACTTGGTGCATGGACATGTTGATGCTCACTTGGTGCGTGGACATGTTGATGCTCACTTGGTGCATGGACATGTTGATGCTCACTTGGTGCATGTACATGTTGATGCTCACTTGGTGCATGTACATGTTGATGCTCACTTGGTGCATGTACATGTTGATGCTCACTTGGTGCATGTACATGTTGATGCTCACTTGGTGCATGTACATGTTGATGCTCACTTGGTGCATGTACATGTTGATGCTCACTTGGTGCATGTACATGTTGATGCTCACTTGGTGCATGTACATGTTGATGCTCACTTGGTGCATGTACATGTTGATGCTCACTTGGTGCATGTACATGTTGATGCTCACTTGGTGCCTGTACATGTTGATGCTCACTTGGTGCATGTACATGTTGATGCTCACTTGGTGCATGTACATGTTGATGCTCACTTGGTGCATGTACATGTTGATGCTCACTTGGTGCATGTACATGTTGATGCTCACTTGGTGCATGTACATGTTGATGCTCACTTGGTGCATGTACATGTTGATGCTCACTTGATGCATGTACATGTTGATGCTCACTTGGTGCATGTACATGTTGATGCTCACTTGGTGCATGTACATGTTGATGCTCACTTGGTGCATGTACATGTTGATGCTCACTTGGTGCATGTACATGTTGATGCTCACTTGGTGCATGTACATGTTGATGCTCACTTGGTGCATGGACATGTTGATGCTCACTTGGTGCATGGACATGTTGATGCTCACTTGGTGCATGTACATGTTGATGCTCACTTGGTGCATGTACATGTTGATGCTCACTTGGTGCATGTACATGTTGATGCTCACTTGGTGCATGTACATGTTGATGCTCACTTGGTGCATGTACATGTTGATGCTCACTTGGTGCATGTACATGTTGATGCTCACTTGGTGCATGGACATGTTGATGCTCACTTGGTGCATGGACATGTTGATGCTCACTTGGTGCATGTACATGTTGATGCTCACTTGGTGCATGTACATGTTGATGCTCACTTGGTGCATGTACATGTTGATGCTCACTTGGTGCATGGACATGTTGATGCTCACTTGGTGCATGGACATGTTGATGCTCACTTGGTGCATGTACATGTTGATGCTCACTTGGTGCATGTACATGTTGATGCTCACTTGGTGCATGTACATGTTGATGCTCACTTGGTGCATGTACATGTTGATGCTCACTTGGTGCATGTACATGTTGATGCTCACTTGGTGCATGTACATGTTGATGCTCACTTGGTGCATGTACATGTTGATGCTCACTTGGTGCATGTACATGTTGATGCTCACTTGGTGCATGTACATGTTGATGCTCACTTGGTGCATGTACATGTTGATGCTCACTTGGTGCATGTACATGTTGATCCTCACTTGGTGCATGTACATGTTGATGCTCACTTGGTGCATGTACATGTTGATGCTCACTTGGTGCATGGACATGTTGATGCTCACTTGGTGCATGGACATGTTGATGCTCACTTGGTGCATGTACATGTTGATGCTCACTTGGTGCATGTACATGTTGATGCTCACTTGGTGCATGGACATGTTGATGCTCACTTGGTGCGTGGACATGTTGATGCTCACTTGGTGCATGGACATGTTGATGCTCACTTGGTGCATGTACATGTTGATGCTCACTTGGTGCATGTACATGTTGATGCTCACTTGGTGCATGTACATGTTGATGCTCACTTGGTGCATGTACATGTTGATGCTCACTTGGTGCATGTACATGTTGATGCTCACTTGGTGCATGTACATGTTGATGCTCACTTGGTGCATGTACATGTTGATGCTCACTTGGTGCATGTACATGTTGATGCTCACTTGGTGCATGTACATGTTGATGCTCACTTGGTGCATGTACATGTTGATGCTCACTTGGTGCCTGTACATGTTGATGCTCACTTGGTGCATGTACATGTTGATGCTCACTTGGTGCATGTACATGTTGATGCTCACTTGGTGCATGTACATGTTGATGCTCACTTGGTGCATGTACATGTTGATGCTCACTTGGTGCATGTACATGTTGATGCTCACTTGGTGCATGTACATGTTGATGCTCACTTGATGCATGTACATGTTGATGCTCACTTGGTGCATGTACATGTTGATGCTCACTTGGTGCATGTACATGTTGATGCTCACTTGGTGCATGTACATGTTGATGCTCACTTGGTGCATGTACATGTTGATGCTCACTTGGTGCATGTACATGTTGATGCTCACTTGGTGCATGGACATGTTGATGCTCACTTGGTGCATGTACATGTTGATGCTCACTTGGTGCATGTACATGTTGATGCTCACTTGGTGCATGTACATGTTGATGCTCACTTGGTGCATGTACATGTTGATGCTCACTTGGTGCATGTACATGTTGATGCTCACTTGGTGCATGTACATGTTGATGCTCACTTGGTGCATGTACATGTTGATGCTCACTTGGTGCATGTACATGTTGATGCTCACTTGGTGCATGTACATGTTGATGCTCACTTGGTGCATGTACATGTTGATGCTCACTTGGTGCATGTACATGTTGATGCTCACTTGGTGCATGTACATGTTGATGCTCACTTGGTGCATGTACATGTTGATGCTCACTTGGTGCATGTACATGTTGATGCTCACTTGGTGCATGCACATGTTGATGCTCACTTGGTGCATGTACATGTTGATGCTCACTTGGTGCATGGACATGTTGATGCTCACTTGGTGCATGTACATGTTGATGCTCACTTGGTGCATGTACATGTTGATGCTCACTTGGTGCATGTACATGTTGATGCTCACTTGGTGCATGTACATGTTGATGCTCA